AGAATGACAGATATAAAGAGATATATATATATATATATATATATATATATATATAGAATGATAGATAGTTAGGTAGAATGATGGACAGAATGACAGATATGACAGTGCAAGAGATATACCGATAGATAGAATAATACATAGAATAATAGAGAGAGAGATAGACAAGGAATGAAAGATATAGACAGAAAGAACAATATATAGAGCAAGAGAAATTGACAGACTAAAAGAACGAACGAAAGAAAGAACGATGGATGGATGGATGAACAAACAAAAGAGATAGGCAGACAGATAGATGGATAGATAGATAAAGACAGAATGATACATTAACAGACAAACTGACAGAACATATGACAAAACAACCAAATAAATGAAAGAGAGAATGAACGAACAAACGACAGATAGAATGAACAAACTAATGAACAATAGAACTAACAAACGAACGAATAGAATGATAGAACGATAGAGAGATAGATAGATAGATAGATAGAGCGACAGAATGACAGACAGAACAACAGAAAAATAGAATGATAGATAGATGGATAGATGGATGGATGGATGGATGGAATGATAGAACGATAGATAGACAGACAGATAGATAGATAGATAGATAGATAGATAGAATGATAGATAGAACAATATATAGAACAATAGATAGATAGATAGATACCACCATTTGACTTTGATCCTGCCAGTACAGACATAATAAAAGATTTCACACCAGTATAAATGGACTACGCTCATTTATAAAACATGAGGAAGAACATGGGAAACATGAATTAAGCTGCCAGTTACAATGGGAAAGAGAAGGCAGTTTGTGAAACCGAAACAGAGAGCAGAAAAAAGACTGAGTGTTGCACGGAACTGGAGCTTGCTGCACTAGAACTGTTTAATTTCAAGACTGTGTGTTCCTGCGCTCATAGGCTTCTGTATGTGTGCCATGATCTGGTGAATGGCAGAGAGGGTAATCTCGATTAAGCACACACGCATACACAAAGGCTTCTCTTTCTGTCTCTGTGGACATAATTGATTGTGACATTATTTTTGGTCTGCATCCAGGGTCGTGCTCCAGCCAATGTGTTGCTCATATAGTTCCCACAATAGCAAACCCAAGGATGGCCAAAAAAAAGTCATGAAAACACTGTACCCTAAACAATTTTGAACTAGTTTCCCAACATAAATTCCAAATTAAATTACTTTTTAACCACATATAAAAATGGTGCACAGTGTGACAAAATTGTGACAAGACTATTAACTTGTTCGATTTCTTTATCTAATTTAAAGCTTTCATTTAAATATATAAAAATCTTGTTAAAAAGTTTGGCGTCACTGAATTTCTTTTTTAAAGAAATTAATCAATATATTCAACAAAGAATGCATTAAATTGATCAAATAAACTGATGATATAATGCTTGTACAATACTTTTAATTCAATAGCAATATAGTTAAAAATCTTGATATTTTCCCACATTTTTTATGACATTTGACATCTGTATCAATATTTTTTTCCATTTTCCATTGGAAAGCAGCAACTATTAGCTGTCAAAGCTGTAACTTTTAAAATTATTTTGACACAATATTACCAAATTTTATTTGATATGGCAAATACCGTATTGGCCCGAATATAAGACGACCCCCCTTTTTCCAGATGTACCTTTTGGAAAAAGGCTTTTTAAAAACCAAATCTTGTTTTTTTCCTCAGGAAAACACATTTTGTCTTCAATTATTTTCATATTGCATATTTTTCCTATTTTAATTTTAGTTTTGAAAGTATGGTAAAAACTGGTCAAATGTACCAACAA